GCTGTATTTCTTTTCATTAGCACAAACAGTATCAATAGATATGCATACAGTATCAAAGACAGACAAACAGGGCAAACCCGCTTTTGTGTCCTATCAACATCTTACATACAAACACCAACAACTTGGGTCAAGCAGAACACAATAATATACGATGGCAGACTTAAAAACAGAACATTTCTTGGAGTTCTGGAGGCTTGAGAAATACAGGATCAAATTACCAGCAGGTAAGTCTGTAGTGAGGGCCCCCTAGTTTCTAGTTGAGTCTCCTCATGATATTGGGAGAGAAGAAAGAAAGGAGGAATGGAGGGAGGGAGGGAAAGAGGGGAGGGAAGAAGGGAAGGAGAGAAAAAAAGAGGGATCAATCCTTGGTGTCTCTGCTTGTGATGACTTGTCTCCCTGCCTATCAGGGGTACATCCCCATGGCTCCATTCAATCTTAGAGGCCTCCAGAGCCCTCATCTTCAACACAGTCACACAGAGGATAGGAGTTTATGTTAATTAGGGGCACACAATTCCACCTACAGCCACAGGTCATCCAACCACACACCGTGATTTGCAGTGTGTGCCCAACAGTATAAGGTCTCACTGCTTCATGTTCTGTTCTTTGTAAATCCAAGTTTATGACTTGTATCTGTCATGGGAAACAAGGCCTGTAAGTATGTCACTCCACCCTCTGAAGCTGCAGTGACATGGGGAGAACCCGCCAGCAGAGGTCAAAGCTCACAATGGGATGTCTCAACAAAGTGGAAGCCTCCCAGGAGGCTAATGCCAAGCTGCAGTAAGAAGACTGAAATGCTAGTCATTGCTAATGCCAGAGCATGAAGGGACACACTTGGAACACCAACTCTTCCACCCAGCATTCCAAGGAGATGTCCTCATCTGCATATGTCAATTTATCATCAATTTGATTTCAGATATAATAAATGTTGTCCAGATAAGCAGCTGCTTGCTTCCAAACCACAAAACTGGACATTTCTCTCCTTTCTCTTATCGAAGGCTTTTGTGGTGAACATATCCTTTAGTGCAGAGTGAGTAATTTTTTTTGACAGGTTTTTCTTCTCCGACAGAATAAGGTGGCTGTGAGAAGAGATAAATTGCATAGGACCTTAGCCAGTGGAATCTGAGGAGTTCCATTTCATATGGAAATTATACACTCTGCTATCTGAAATTTGGGCAATGAGTGACTTCTATTAAATTTTACCTGCAGGCCTTCAATTTTATAATGGTGCTTCCTTGCCTGGGGTCATTTCCAAGTGTGGATATGCTTCTGAATATGCAAAGAGCATTAAATTATGTCAGTCCACTGACAACAACATTTTGGTTGTATTTTATTCAAGTTCCATGGAGATTGATAATCTCTCTGTGAATCAATGTTTCTGTCACATTCTGCCAGACTGGCATCCTCCAGTTCAGAGACCGGGTGACACATTTCCAATGAAGTAAGTTAATAATATCATCTTTCTGATTAGCTATTGAAAATAAAGACTAGAAAAAAAATCACATCTCTTTTTCAGATAAGATAGCATTGAAAGGAAGACAGAGATTAACTCACAAATATTGTTTTCCATACCCACAGCTCTTTTTAAAATCCAATATAAATTCAAAAGTATGCTTATCATTTCTGTTATGCAAAACTTTTACTTTAAACTGGGCAGCTGTTAATTTCCTATGCCAGGTTCCACCTGCAGATATTTAGAATTCATGATGCACAAGTGTTGTCACTAAGAGAAGGTCTCTGCTGAGAAATCATGGATGTGTGGACATGCACAAAAGTACTTAACTTCTGAAGGCAAATTGCATATTGAATTTTTATTGAAGTTGGCTCTGATAAGAGTATATACACAAATATAAAAGGCAATGATAAAATAATTTTCTAATAATTGTGATCTAAAATATCATACCACACATAGAATGAAGGAGAGAGGGAGAGAGAGAGGGAGAATGAGAAAGAGAGAGAGAAGACCCCATCTTATTCTGTGGGGGATACGGCAGTTCAGATAATTGCATGTTGGAATAGGCATTAAGAAGAAAAATAAAGTGACCAGTAGTTAGCGTGGAGAGCCTCTGAAGACTCCTTTAATATTGAGCTTCTTTGCATACTATGTTTCTGAAATATTTTCTCAAGGCAAACAAGTGAAAGGACTAAATGTGTTTGTTTCTGTTGGTAGTCAAGTGGATGTGTCCTACCTGTGTGTTGCAGAGGGCCCACTAACAGTGCCTCTCAAACATAAAAATCACCTAAGAATCTTCACAAATTGATATTTAGAATCACTACAGCCTGGGTGAGCTTAAGATTTTACATTCTCTACAAATTCTTCTGATCAAGGAACTGGCATTTCGAATTCAACACTTTCCAGGGGGACAACAAACGAAGCAGAAAAACAATTGCCCCAAGTGATACCAAGGTTTTCAAAGGACTACGCACACATTGCCACCTTCCGTATTGTTGGATAATTGTTAGACATGCTAATTTGTAGGATTCACCTCAAACCACTGAACATGAAGATCCTGTAACTCTGGGTGTTTTGGAGATTCTGACACGCATGAATATTGGAGATGGTTCCAAGCAAACTTGGAAATGAAGTTGATCCTATTGATCAAATTATGATGTATCTGGGTCCAAGTCCTTGAGAGACCACAGGCTGCTGGCAGATGGCCTTCTCTCATCCCTAGTCCCAGGACTGTCATTCAACATTTGGCATTGAATCATGGATAGAACTGCAACCCAGAGCATCCTTGAATTCTACTCTCTGCTGGTTCCCACTGGGATAAATTTTGGAATCTCTTAGTTTAAAATTACATACGG